GGTCCACGTCTTTATCCCAGCACTTGGGAGGCAGAGGCAGGTGGATCTCTGTGAGTTCAAGGCCAGCCTGGTCTATGTAGTGAGTTCCAGGACGGCCAGAGCTACCTAGTGGGACCTTGTCTCAAAAAAGAAGAAAGAAAGAAGACAAAAAAAAGTGGAAAAGTCTTGGGATACAGAATCATAGAGTCCCTCCCCATAGCTTACAATATTGGTTCTACCCATGCCCAGTGGCCTCATGGGAATTATAGTTTCTATGTAGTGGCAAGCCAATGAGACAGAAAAGCTGGACTCTGGTGTTCTATATCTGCCCTCCACACACAGATGAGGACACACTGGAACAGGCATCCTGGAGTTTTCTGAAGGATCTGAAACGTATCACAGATAGTGATGTAAAAGGTAAATGTACCAAAGGATGAGGCCAGAACCTCTGAGAAATTGAGGCTGATGATGCTCAAAGCTTCAAGCCTTCGCTTGAGTGCCCTTCTGACTCTGCCACGTCTTAGTCATGTGGCCTTGAACCTGGTGCTGGGCCGCTTCCTCAGCCCTAAATGTGGAAGATTACAATTATCTCCCTTTCTCAGTAGCTTTGAGGATTAGGACAATTAACAGAGCAGGGCAGGGGTAGCCTTTAATCCCAGCACTGGGGAGGCAGAACTAGGTGGATCTCTGTGAGTACGAGGCCAGCCTGGTCTACAGGCACCAAAACTACACAGAGAAACCCTGTCTCAGAAAAAAAAAAAAGAGAGAACAAAGATAATTAACAGGTGTGCATTTCATGACCCGGTGGCCCAGCCCTGTGTTCAGTGCCTGTCCATATAGCTCTTCCCTGGAGGGCTCGAGTGTGGAATGCCAGTGAAGACAGGTGGGGCATCCTTGTACTCAAAGCTACTCAGGGGGCTGAAGCAGGAGGATTACTTAAGCCCAGGATTCCAGAGCAGCTTGGGCAACATAGTGACATCCTCTCAAGCCAATAAGAGAAGTGGAGCTGTTGGTGGTGGTGCACGCCTTTAATAATCCCAGCACTGGAGAGGCAGAGGCAGGAGGATCCTTGAGTTTGAGGCCAGCCTGGTCTACACAGCAAGTTCTAGGACAGCCGAGACTACAAGATGAGATTCAGAGAGGAGAGATAAATGAGGGGTGGGGTATGCTGGGGCATGCTTGAAGGTGGTGATGGAAAGATCAGGTGTTCGAGGTCACCCTCAGCTGCACAGTGAGTCAGGCCACTTGTAGTACCTGTAGCGTATGGATTGCTTTGCTGCACCTCACCTGAGTGGGGGAGCCCCTTCCTGGCTCTGCTTCCTCCTAGGAGAGCTCTTTGTAAAGGAATTATTCTGGATGCTCCGTCTGCAAAAGGACATCTTCGCCACCCTCGCTATGCGTTTCCAAAAAGAAGGTGAGGGAGATGGGAGTCCAGAACCCCAGCCATCGGCTTCCTTAACCCTCTCCCCATCCACGCCCTCAAGAACACCTTCCCCAGGCCCTGCCCTTTTGTGCCTAAAAGCTCCGAAACCTCAGACCTCTGCTCAGCACCCACTCCCATTAATTTAGAAAGAAATATGATTCTCTGGAGCTTGGTAACAAAGCCTATAATCCCAGCGCTTGGGAGGCTGAGGCAGGTGGATTGCCAAATTTGAGGCAACCTTGGGCTACTGGCTGAGATGCTGAAAGAAAAAAGGAGCCTGTGATCATGGGACTTGGTGGGTGGAGGCAAGAGATAAAATGTCCAAGGTCATCCATCCTCATGGACAGAAAGTTTGAGACCAGCCTGGGCTATACAAGACTCCTTTCTGAAAACAGAGACAAACCTGCTTTTCTTTCTCTTCCCCCACCTTCCCCCCTTCGGAGGCAGTTTATTGTCCCAACCAATGTGGTGAGTCCAGTGTGCATGACCTTCTCCTCTTGCCCCATGAGCCCCCAACGATGGGTGATTTTTTTCCTCCCCTTCATTTGAGCTCCCCCAGCTCTCCAGCTTGGATTTCTTAGGAGTGGGTGGCGTTCCAGTGGCCCTCCTTCCTCAGCTTCGGTGGGGGCGCCAACACTTGATGTGAACGGCCGCCCCAGCCCTTGACCTTGCCAAATTCTCCTTTTAGCCCCACCTCTCAGTGGGAGAATACCACTTTAACCTTCGCCCTTCAGGCACGATGTTGCAGACGCTGATCTGGTGTAACAGGTGCGAGAAGCAGGTCCACTCCTGTCGCAAATCCATGGATTGTGGGGGTGAGCACACGACCCAGCCCAATGGCCTAGTGTCAGAGGGGTGGGGGCTAGGAGAGAGGCAGCCGCCGCGGGGCTCCCCCAGAAGTAGCTGCAGCCCCTCCTTTTGCACAGAGCGCCGGATAGAGGTGCCTCGATTGGAAGACATGGTCCTGGACTGCCAGCTCGGTTGGCATCATGCTTCTGAGGGACTTACGGATTACAGTTTTTACAGGGTGGGGACATCCAACTCCTGTGACCCTTGACCCTAAGTCTGTTAGACTTGTGTGAGCCCCCGGGTCCCCTGCCCTCAACCTGACCCTCATGGCCAGTTAGAGTGTCCTCTACTGATCCCCAGAGAGATCCCACGCCCTGACCAGGGACTTTCCCATCCTAGCCACGACACCATGGAAGGTAGGGGAGTCTATGGTGTGTCCTGTCATGATTAGGGAGATCAGTAGTCCTGATTCCTTCCTTCCCTGCACCGAGACCCTGTGACCTTCTCACCCCTCTACTCCCCCAGTCCCCAAGTTCCCCAGGCCTCTATGACCCCTTGAGCTTGGGTCTAGGTTTGGGGGAACAGTTCTGAGACCTTGCTGTCCAAGGGGAAAGAACCCTACCTGACCAAGACGATGGTGGGTCCAGAGGATGCCGGCAACTACCGCTGCGAGCTGGGGACCATCAACTCTGGTCCTGCCACCGTTATTCGTTTTCGTGTCGTAGGTCAGTCTGGGGTGTTGAAAAACGGCATTCGGGATGGGAGAATCTCTGGAGGTGTGGCCTCGTTGCTTTGGGTGTGTGGCTTTGGCTATACCCAGGGTCTGTGCTAAGGGGTGTGGACTCCCTCTGGAGGTGTGTTTTCTGGCCATGGAGGTGTGGCTTCCTGCCCAAAAGGCTGCCTTAGGTCTCAGTTGGACTTCCTGGGGTGCACCCGCCCTCTAGAGGGGGCTAGAGTTGTGGGGTAGGCATGCCTTTACCAGCTGCTGCCAGGACTGCCCTTTGGCTCTCTGTCAGTACTGCCCCAAAGGACAGCAGAAGAAAAACCGGCACCAAACATCATAACCCAGGAGGAGGAGGGCCCTGTACAGGTGACTCCAGAGACCCTGGAGCCCGTAATTACAATCGCCAGTCATCCGAAACCACCGAGAGCTGCCAAACACCACCGCCTCTTAATACTGTTGATCCTTGGCTTCATAATTCTGGTGGCCAGCATCATTGTCACGTGAGCTGACCGCCGGGAACTCTGGAGGAAGGGTGGGGCTTAAATGAAGTGGACTCGTATGAAGGGGAGAGGCTTGGACAATAGCCGAGTAAAGGCCTGGACCAGAGATGGGCTTTGGGAGGGGGCGTGGCTTGGACAGAGGCGTTGGGGGCCTGGGTAAGAGTGGGGCTTGAAGGGAGGGGCAGGACTCGAATGGAGATGTAGTCTTGGGTAAGGAGAGGAGACTGAATAGAAGGGTGTGGACAAGGGCTTGGATGGACGGATGGATGGACCGACGGACGGACGGACGAGGCTTCAATGAAAGGATAGGGCCTTATGGAGAAGATTCGGAGGGGGCTGGGCTTGGGTGGAGGGCGAGGCTTCCTACAATCCAGTGCTGGCGGAGGACCGGAAGCTACTGAGCACCTTCCTTTGGGGCTCATTTAGGAGGATGAGGCATGTATAAACTGTTAGGTTGTTTGCTGGGGTCTAGGAAGGGTGTCCCTCACTCAGCCCATGATCTAACGTGGTTCTACGCCCTCCCGGCCTTCCGCAGGGTACTTCACTTTAGGAAAGCCAGAGGTAAATCCAAGACCTCCAGTTTGGACGTGAAATCCTCAAGGTCGGAATTCAAGTCGTCGGATCAGGACAGGTCCTCTGTCCAGCCGGAGTCCTCCCCGCCGGTAGAGTCGAAGCCCTCTCAGGGTGACAGTGTTGCCGAGGAGACAGAGGACAAGGGCGAGGAATCAGAAAGCTAATAAAGATTTGACCTGTTGTCTCAGTTTCTGACTTACTCTTGGGGACTGGTCCTGACTTCTGGCTCCCAGAGAGGAGCAGCTGGAACATGGGCCCTCCCTCTGCAGGGGGCCCATGAATGGTGGGCCCAGAATCGAGGCCTAGGCCAGGGTCAGCCCTGCCCCATCTCCTCCCCCAGGCCTGGTCTCCTCACAGGACGCCCCCTCCCCGCTCTTCCTGCCGGGCTTCCTCTTGCCTTTTCCTGTCCCCCACCCAGTGCTGGGAGCCCGGGCAGAGGAAAACACTTTTCAGAGGGATTGGGACTTAACGGAGGCCAACGGCACCGGGGCCTCCGGGTGCTACAGGACCCGAAGCAGGGTAAGAGCCACAGCAATGACCTGTCCAGGGACCTAGGGGTTCACTGTTCGGGTCCCCTCTACCTCCCTGGGATCCAGGAGCTAGAATTCATCCTCTCATCCGTCCCCACCCACTCCCGGGGCCTTAGGACTTGGGGCCTTACCCTCTTCCCTTAGGGCCATGCTATCTGGTGAACGAAAGGAGGGCGGAAGCCCCCGCTTTGGGAAACTCCATCTCCCAGTGGGCCTGTGGATCAACTCCCCAAGAAAGCAGCTGGCCAAACTGGGGCGGCGCTGGCCCAGCGCTGCCTCTGTCAAGTAAGTGATCAACCTCTGCGGCACGCCTGCCATCTGTCCCTGCTTATCACTGAGTCATGCCAGGGACCCTAAAAGGTGGGCAGTGGTTCCTGTCCTGAACAGGCGAGCGAGCTGGAGGGGGCTGGGGGTGCCAGTGGAGGACAGTGACATCTAGACGCCGGGAGGGGAGAGCTGGGCCAAGACATGGGGTCAGGCCGGATGGGCACCGGGATGAAACACTAGGCAGGCCCAGGGACTGGATTCCCTTTCCTCCCCTCTCTGTTCCCCTTGGGGTTTCCTACCAAAGGTCACATCTTTATTAATCCTATTACGTATCTCTTTTACCTCCATTCTTCCCACCCCACCATCTTGGTTTTCCGCCCCCACCCACTACTCCTGTCTGTGTCCCTCTCTCTCTGGGTCTTTGTCTCTGAGTTTCTGTCCCTCCCCCTCTCTTGGTTCCTCTGTGTCTTCGGCCCCTGTCTCGGGGTCACTTGCTCCGGGTTTGTCTCCCTGCGCCTGTCTGTCTGTCCGTCCTCTCTCGTTCTTTTCTCTGTGTCCCCTCTGCCCACTTGTGCCCCCTCAGGTCGTCGTCCTCCGACACGGGGAGCCGCAGCAGCGAGCCGCTGCCGCCGCCGCCGCCGCCACCGCCACCGCTGCCCGGAGGGATCAGCTGGTGGTTCTCCAGCTGCACTGGGGCCATGGCGGCGCACAGC